GGTGTTGCCCAGGAGCAGAAAAATAAGGAGACCAGGACTTGGAGGGGAGTGCCAGCCAGGGCTGTTGCTGAGCTGCCTTCTTAATGCTACTGCATCCCTGGGCGCTGACTGAGACTCAGAGAGGTAAAAGCAGCCATGGACATAGCTCTGGCCATCCGACTTGAATAGTATTGCCTTATAAATTAACAAACACACAGAGTTTTTGTATGTGGATTGATTTTTTTTCTGGGCTAATGATGATTTAAAAAAAATTACCAATTTATCTTATACACTCAGGGCCAACCTTTCCACAGTGGCAAAATGGAAAGGTATGTGGCCGTGAGCAGGTCCTTGTCCTTTTCTCACCCTCAGTCCCTGTAGACTCTCGTGGTCCTGCTCAATTTGACCTTCTGTGATTTCTCCTCCACCCATTGACTGAAAGGAATACACAGTATCTTAAAGAGATGGGAGGAAGCAGGTGGATACCCGCATGAACTCCTGTCCCCAAGATTTTTCCCTGATGCTTTTGGGAGACACCCAGCAAGGCTCTGAATTGGTGGGAAGACCTTAGCAAGTAGAGGAAGACTTTCAGCCCCAGAGCTCTTTTCCTTTGGGTGAGTCCTCCCCGAAGAGATGGAGAGAAGAGAGGCTAGTGAGGCTAGGAGCCAGGATGGCTACTGTGGGTTCTTTCTCTTTTGGGAAACAGAGGCTTCTCAAAGTATGAAAAAAAGAAAACCCACAGACAAGCAAGGGAATAACTCCAACATCCCACATCTCTGCCTTGGGCCAGAATGAATGCCACCCCCTAAAAAGATTGCTTCTGCAATTACAACTGAATAAACAACCAATTAAAATGTCTCCCCTGGCCCTACCCCCTCTTCCCCCTCTCTCTCTGAAGCTTTCTCAGCCTAGAGCCATGGGGCGAAGAGGTGACTTTCTCTAATAACATTTGTGTTCTCTGCCAGAGAGAACACTTGATGGAAGTGGACAAATCAATTATAAAATAATAAATAATGTGGAAAGGGCTGATCCAAGAAAACCTCAGCTTCTCTGTGTTTTCATTCTCCTCCCACACACTGTTTTCCTCTCCACTGTGGCCCGCAGTACCCTTGGAAGTGAGGGCGAGGCTGTGGGAAGTGTTGGCCACATCTAGAGTTGCCCTTGGCCTTGTCACTCTGTGATCTCCAAACCCCTGTTACTTCATCTATAAGATAGGGGTAAATAATGGGAATAGCTAAACACTTACTTCTTCATGCCAGGTATTCTAAGCCCTTTACACTTTCTTTTTAATGTCCCAAATCCTCTGAACAACTCTATGAGATAGGTACTATTATTGTTTTTGTGTTTTGTGAATAAAGGAACTGGTGTTCAGGGAGTCAAGTAAATTGTTCAGCTAAGATAATTGACCCAAATGTCAAGTGGAAGAGCTGGATTCATAGCCAGGGCTCTGGCTTAGGACGGAGCCATCTTGCCCACTCTGTGGCATCACATGTGCACAGAGATGGAACAGCATGTGGAGCTGGCATACAGCAAGTGCTTAATAAGTGTTGGTTTTCCTTCTTTGATCACAGAAAAGCCTGGTTTGAACTCCTTATGAGGTTCCAGGCCAAGAAGCTGAGGATGGGACCTTGGGAGGAAAAGGGCCCAATAGCAAGGCTTTGCGTCAATATCTGAACTTGTGTGGCTGTCTTTGAAATTGGCCACCTCAACCATGTTCAGGCCCACGTAGATGCAACCTCTCCTGGCCCTGCCTGTGTCTACAATCCAAGTTAACCAGTTATTTGAAAAGCTGTAAAGATTATGGTTACATGAGTATTTGGTTTTATGAACTCTTGATGATGTGGGTAGATAGGAGGGCACTCGAGGTCTCGACATCTCTTATTCCCATCGGAGTAGAGGTGTAAGGTCATGTCCCACAGAAATGCTCTGTGAAGCATCCCGTGTATTGATATGGAAACTGGGGTCTCATAGCAAGGAAGTGCTGAAACAGACTGTGACCTAAATATTTTGGCTGTTTTCTTTCCCAGTGTGAATTCAACTCCAACCATATGTACTGAGTGCTTCTCAGGTGTCAATTCCTGTGCTGAGGACTCAGTAAACAGAGATGAGTAAGGTGCATCCCCTGCCCTCCAGGGAGCCACAAAGAGTGGCAGATATAGACAGTGGTAGTGATTATTTGGAATGGTGTTAGAGTGCCTACAAATAGGCGGTGGATGAGTACAAAGATGGTAAAGAAGGTGGGGGTGATGTGGAAATCAGGGAGGTCTTCCTGGAGGAGAGGTCCCAGAATGGACTTTGGATTTGTTCATCAGAGTCCCTGTTAGAGGGAACGGCATAAGTAAAGGCACTGGGGCTGATGCTTCATGGTGGGTGATGCCAGTGCACAGTGGGGGATTCAAGAGAGGGGACGGAGAGAGATGAGGCCAGAAGTGGAGACGGGTTCTTGCAGGCCATGCTGGGAGCTTGGACTTTACTCTCATATTGGAAGGCACTTCCATGACAAGGGAACCATCATTATGTGCTCTACATGCCAGGCCCTGTGCCATCCCCCTAGGAGAGACAACATTGTGAAAAAGGAAAACACTTTTAACTGACTGTGTGACCTTAGCAAGATATGAAGGTTCTTTAAGCCTCTATCTTCTCCTCTGGAAAACGGGGATAATGCTGCCCACCTCAGTATAAATAAGTCGATGAAAGGAGATAATCCATGTAAAGTCAGGCCAACAAACATCAAATATCATTATTCCTGGACTTTATCTCGCCTACTACATCAAGCTGCCTGCCTGCTTATTTATTTATGTTTTTATTCATTTATTTATCAATGAATCACTGGATTCATTTCCAGCCTTCTTCAGAAGTGATTATCAGCTGTTCACAAGATCCCTAAAATACATGACGAC